CTGAAGAAGTTGGTAGAATTTTCACTTTCGTTATCATTAGCTTTAGTGTTTGGTGTGTAAATTTGAATAATAGTAGTATTAACTGTTCTTTCTTTTAGGCTCCTGGGTATTATCCTACTACAGACAGCAACATACTTCAAGATAAATCTTGAAATGTTCTTTTTTATGAATGTGATGCCATTCCTTTTCAAACATGATGAATAGCACCAGAATATTGTCAGAAATAATGCTGGAAGATGAGTCACTCAGGTTGGAAGGTACGTTGTCATTTCCAGCATAGTAAATCATGTGACTGGCAGATTCAAAATGGCTAATACTAGTCCATTTCAGTTCACTAATGCCAAGGGTATCATGTTTATGAGTTTCATCTCATTTTGATAACTTCTGATTTTCCTACACTCATACTTTGTACATTCCATGTTCCAATTATTAATGGATGTTTTCAGCTGCTTTTCCACATTTTGAGTGGTGCCCTATCAGCAAATGAAGGTTGTGAAAGCTTTCCCCTACTTTGTGGAAGCAGCTCTCCCCCAGTCATATTCTGAGTATCTTCCAACCTGAGTGACTCATCTTCCAGCATTATTTCTGACAATATTCTGGTGCTATTCACCATGTTTCAATATTTAGTGATAAATATTGAATATTAATACATCAATATTTAACATTCTGGTGCTATCTGCCAGTGCTTTGTTATTGTTCATAAGGTTTTCACTGGCTAATAATTCAGAAGTAGTGAGCCTCTCCTTATTCTGAGTCTTTCTTAGTGTGGAAGCTCAGCTGAAACCTGGTCATCAGGGGTGAAACCTGGTCATCAGGGGTGACCCTGCCGGTATAGCTTCCAGCATGACAATAGCATGCAACTAAAATGCATCTGACCCAAGCCATGATATTTTCTATAGCCTCATATGCATGTGAACGTAGGACAATGAATAAGGAAGACCATAGGAGAACAGTACATTTGAATTATGATATTGGAGAGGAAAAGTAAAAGTACCACGGACTGCCAGGAAATATACACATTTGTCTTGGAGGAAGTGAAGTCAGAATGCTCCTTAGAAGCCAGGATGGCAAAATCTTCCCTCTCATATTTTGGACATATTGTCAAGAGGGATCAGTTCCTGGCAAAAGACATCATGCTTGGTAAAATGGAGGGTCATGGAAAAAGAAGAAGACCCCAATGAGATGGACTGACACAGTGGCAAAAACAATGGGATCAAATGTAACAATTGAGAAGTTGGTGCAAGACCAGGCAGTGTTTCATTCTGTTGTGCACAGGATCGCTGTAAGTTGGAATGGAGTCAATGGCTCCTAGCAACAACCAACCTTGAAGAGCGGACTATGTCTGTGTAGGTGAACAAAAACATTTAGCAAAACAGTCCATTAAGGAAACAGTTTGTAAAATAAACCTACCCTTTCCATAATATTTTTGAAAGTAAGTAAAAAAAAGGATTACTACAAGAGCATAGAAACATTTATTAAACAATAAAATCAAAATGTGAAGCTATTGTTTCCTGACATATTCCTCCATTTACGTCTGTACCCATATGAAGTTGGTGATTCTTCTTTAACTCTTCCACAAAGAATTCAGCACTTTTTGATTCACACCAGGTGAAAAAGACAGTTTTGGCATCTTCGAGGTACCCAAATCGTATTCCTTTTCAGTATTGAGTTTGGGGAACAAAAATAAGTCTGATGGGGCAAGATTGGGGTGTAGGATACCTGGGCCCAGGTTTCCCAGGATTCTCGGATAGCCCTTGTTGCTCTTGAAAGAGCATGTGCATTACCATAATGGGAATAATTCCTCAGCACAACTTTCCGGGCCCTTATTTCCCCAGTGTAGTTTGAATTTTCTTATTATTTCCTCACAGTCTGTCCACATGATTGTCCATGCCATTCAAGAAAATCTATCAAGTTTACTCTTCCAGAATCCCCCCAAATCACCAAACCTTCTGAGTTGATGTCTCTGCCTTGATTGTAACTGACCAGCAAATCTCCTTATCCTAAAAGTTCCTGGTTTGACTGGAGGTTTGATGTTTTTTTGAAACCACTCTAATGCGATGAAGACAAATGTTATTACTAGGAGAAGACTCCTGGGATGGCATTGTAGGATAAGCACCATATTGCTAACCATAAGGTTGGTGGTCCAAACTCACCAGCTGTTCCTCAGAAACCCTAGACAGGGTCGCTATGAGTGGGAACCAACTTGACGGCACTTTAACAACAGTAACATTACAGTGAGAACTTGATTGCAGCCACAAATCACACAGACAAAACCCCACAAATCACAGAGACATGTCGAAGCATGCTTTGTTTGGAATAAACCCATGCATGTTTGAACTCAAACCCTAGTAACAATACTTTTTAACTAACCAGTGTACAGTTAGTAACATGTCTGAGAAGATATGTATACGTGCATATGCGAGGAGAAAAAAAAACAACTTATCAGTCATTATGTTTTCATGCTAAATTTTTATTTCAATGTTATGCAACTGCATAAGTATAAATATTTGTTCAATATACAACAATTATGACATCCATAGGGAATTTCTTAGAGAAAATAAGACTGCAAACACTTTATTGCACAGATCCTAACAAACTTTGAAGCTGGTAAATCTACAGCTGGAAGGACTACCAAGGAGCACATCTTATAATCACACAGAGACTGACCAAAGAGAACACAGTTAGGAGAATTTCTACCAGCTGATTGGAGAGGTTTACAACAACAAACAGGTATTACATGTTGCAACTTTAAGTACTCTTCATTCATCCAAAATGCAAAAAAAAAAAAAAAAGGCAAAAATGATAATACACTATACAAAATATACATACAAATATCATTTGTAAACAAGCAGCTAGTTGTGCTTTAAAGTAAATTGGACAGTTAAAAAGCAAAGGTTGTAAACGATGAACTGCCTCCCCAATGCACCTATCTTGATGGCTGAGTGCAGAAGGACTGGGTTATGCCCACTGCCAAGCACAGATATGCATTATAAATGTTAAGACTGCTTTTGAAACCCATCTAAGTTCTTGTATAATATTTGCTTGTTCTACAATTTCAAAAAAGTAGTAATGGGTAATGGCTAAGATCACACGAGAAAAAAATAGTTAGGTACAAGGAGGAGACTTTTTCTTGTCATTGCCAACTCATTTGACAATGAAGGATAACCAAAGCAGTCCATGAAATTATGTCTTTGATTTAGGAGCAGAGTTTACAGTCTTGCTAGTTGATTTACAATTCACAGGACCGTAAGATGAGGTTGTGTGCTCAGATGAACAATTTTATAGCCTGAATATACTAAGACATCCTCAAGGGGCACTGGATGCTTGGATTAGTTATTTATTGGTAATTTTATTTCTTACACAAAAGCAACCCAAACAAAACAAAATCCTGCTACAGATCCCAATCATCTTATAAATACTTATCTGTGTGTATTTTCTCTTAGTGTCTCAGTACATGTCATCAAATGCTGACTTACAAAACAAGTCACCAGAAAAACTGCAACAAAAAACAAACAACCAAAAAAACCCTTCAGCACTACAGTGATTTGATAAATTCTACATATCCCACGGTATACAAAATTTAAATAAGGCTTAGCAAAAGTAAAAAGGATAGTCACATTCAAGCACCAAATAGCTCCAACAAGTCCATGTGTTACAAAATTGCTGTTCTTAATTAATACAGTATTGTTTTTGCATACAAATAAAGAGATCATGTTATGAAATATGTGGAGCTACTCGATGCATCAGAAACGAATGTGAAATCCAAGAACTTGCTCAAAACAGCAAGCTTCATCTACAACATAAGGCCCCAACTATGTATTAAAATGTATCTGATGTCCTGATTATTTCTTTATATGCTATGATGCCAAAATCCACTCCCCCTTTCCTCTTTCTTTTCCTCCAATAAGCAAATTGACAAGCTCTTCCAATGCTGGATGCTTATTACTAGACCCTAAGTACTAGAAGATTTGCATGTGGTCAGTAATTTTCCTTCTTACTCTAGAGCAGGGCTGGTGCGAGACAACTACAAAACGTGTGCTTTTTGGACTAGTGACTCACAGCATAAAGGCCTGAGTTTAAGAGTGTCAAAAGAAGGGACAGAAAGAGAACAGAAATGAAGTTGATGTGTGTGTCTATAGTGAAGACCCAACGTACACACACACAAACAAGGACCACTGGCCTTTCAGACAGTTGGATCCAGGATCAAATGTCCATTAGGATGACCGTGACATGCAAATGGTAGGGCCATTTGTTCCGGCCATTCCTAATGGAGGAGGATTCCAAATGCAGTGATTAAGAGTATTCTTGTTTTCGATCTGGAAAGATAGGCAGCCAGACACAGTGTTATCAAAAATCTCTGGTTAAAAATACACATTAAAAACTCACCATCTACTGTATTTAGGACTGTCTTTCAACTTTAAATCTACTCAGAATGCTTTGATTCATAAAAATGTCACCTTGAAATCTTCTCTTATCCCACAGACCAAAAACATGTGTGTGGCTGTGCATATACAGGAACATGGGTGCATATATATTTATACATACATCCACCCAGTTTTAACCATTTTTGCTTCATTACTATGTGATGATAACTAAGCAGTAAAGCAAAACTCTTATTAAAACACAAAACAAAATAAAACCAATGAAGCTGTAGTAAACGACGCAATCAGCAGCAAGGTACAGACTCTATATTCAAAACCAAACACATTGCTAGATATTTACAGAGAAAAAATTGATTTTCCTCAACAATCTCAACTGTAAAGGTATTTTTTGTCTTTTTTGTACAAACACTATATGGTAACAGTTTTACCGGTTACAATTGGGAAGGCATTTGGAAGAAGATCCCCTCTTTTTTTCTCTCTCCCCTTCCTTACTGAGGCTCCCCCACTCTGCCTGGCAGACACCCCCACACAGTGCTGGTTTACAAAGGTAGTCAAGACACAGTAACACATTCAGATTGGGTCTCTAAAGTCCCGTCCTGAGTCCTGGGTCCCACCCCATTAGGAGGCCTTTTTGTGAGGACTGCTCCGCAAACTCTCTTTACCCCTCCTCTGCCGCACCACAAAGTCCTTCTCAGAAGAAAGGGTGAGGTGACGGTCAGTGTTGGGAGCTGGGACTGGCTTAACCACTTCTCTGCCCACGTTCTGCTTCCTGGCTGTGGGCGGCTGGGCCAGGGCTGACTCCTTCCCTTTGGTTTCTCCTGCGGTTGTAGTCACCGAGAGGGCCCTATCCCGGTGGCCAGCTCCCCTGCCCAGGGTGAGGTCGGGATGGTGGGACTCTAGAGTGGTGGTGGAGCTCCAAAAGCATGGCAAAGAGTCGCTCTTTGTCATGTGGGTTCTGCCATCCCCGCCTGACAGAGACTTCCTTTGGTCCCTGTTGCTTGGGACTGTGAGCTCAGCCATGTCTCCATTGGCCCTAACAGAAGAGGTGTCACTGCTGATCATAGAGGCCTCCTGGGCTCTTGGTCTGGCTTCTGGAAAGCTGGTGGAGTAGCTCAGAGACTTCTCTGGGAGAGCAGTGGATCGCAAAGAACTCTGCCCACTGGCTGACGGTGACCGTTTCATGCCGCCAGGCTTGCTTGCCTCTGTCAGGGACTTCTGGGGACCTAACCCTTTTCCCTTGGCCTCTGGGAAACCCTTCCCCACAGCTGTGGCCAACTTTTCTGTGCCTTTAAGCCTAGCCTCACAGTGCACAGGGGAAGGGCTGGCCTCCAGCTTCCCATTCTCTGCTGGAACATAAAGTGATTCTGTGCATTTTTTCCCTTCAGACTTCCTGTCTGTGGTGAGAGCCTGCTGACTTGGACTCTTGTCTGCCTGTCTGCACAGAGCAGGGTGATCTTTCACAGTGGATGCCTTGGGGTGCTTGGGAGACATGGTTTGCTTTTCACTGACAGTGGGAAGTTTCTGGTCTGCCAATTCACCAACACCTGGGGGTCCTTGTCTTGGCAGATGCATGGGCTTCTCCAACATCTCTGGGGGATGACCACCACTGGTAGGTTTTGGCTTAGGGTCCAGAGCACCCCCTTCAGTCTGCAGTGGGAGGGAAGGCCCACTTTCCCTCTGGTCGACTGCATCCTTGGCTTTGTTCTGGGAGCCTGGGATGGCAGGGAACACATCCACCAGCCCCTTACCACCACTTCTTACCTCTCTGCTGGAGTTGCTGAGGGGTTGCTGGATCAGCTCTTTGCCCTTTGTACCTCCAGTACTTGCTTTCTGGGAGGAGAGGAGCCTATCTGGGTTCTTAGACTTTGGTGGGCATGGGTCAGGGCCAGACCTGAGCTTGTGGCTGCTGCTTTCACTGTATGCTGCAGCCAGCTTGGAAGGCTCCTGGAGACCTGGGCTGGGTCCAGCAGCACAGGGCTTGATCCCCGGCTCTTTGCCTGAAGAATGGCTTGGTGGGCTACAGTGCTGCCAAGTGGCCAGGCCAGGGAGTTCTTTGGTGATGACTGGGGGCTGAGGGCTATTGCTGAGGTGTTTCTGTAGAGGTTGCTCTTTCCTATCAGATTCCTTGGGGCTGTCTTTCTGCAAAGACGGGAAACCAGAGAGCTTCTCAGTCTTCCTGCTCTCAATGCCTGGTGGCTGCAGAGCCCGCCTGACTGGAGGGGCTTCGGGCTTGGGTTCCATGCCACTTTTGACCTTACTCATATCCCTTTCACAAGGAATCCCAGTGGAGTGCAAAGATGAATCCTCTCTGGCCAGTAGCCTTGTCTCATCTCTGCCTTCTTTGTGGTTCGTTTTTCCACAAGGCCCCCCAGCTTTCTCCATAGTCTGGGTTTGTGTGGAGCTATCTGGGTGGGTCTTTCCTGTGGAGGGGAGATTTTTGGAGTTGTCACTACTTTTAGCAGTTTCTGGAGGGTGCAGCTCCCTGGATGGGTCTCCGTGGACATCAGCCCGCACAGCAAATCGCTCACTTCTGGCTGTGGAAGGGCCCCTTTCAAATGATTCTCTCAGCCTGGGCTTCTCCTTGGAGGGGGTCCCTTCAGAGTACCGGAGGCCATGGGGCATGACTGGGTCTGGGCTCCCAGCAGAGCTGTGGCGGTTCTGCTCAGGGAAGGGGAGGAGCTTGGAGTCAGGAGTGTGATCCTGGTGTCTGGTGGCACTGCCCTCTCTCCGTTGAGGGTCATTTTCCATGACTGTCACCAGGCCCCTGGTGGCGGGATGGGAGACTTTCCTGTCCCGCTTTAACTCTGGGTCAGGCTGAGGAGACGCTGGGGAACTCTGGAGGCTCCGGCTGGGTGGCTGGAACCTAGGCTCAAGCAGGTAGGACTTATGCATCTTCAAGCTGGCAGAGGAAGGCTCCCTGTGACTAGCAGTTTCACCCTTTGCGGGGCTGCTGGGAAGGGCTGATGGTGTAGATGGCCCAATGTCACTGGCCCGGCTGGGACTTTCTGCAGGTTCTGGAGAAAGCAGCTCTGCCTTGGATCCCTGAGGTCCCGACAGGAGAGCAATATCCAAAGTACCCTCAATGGGCTTCAGGCAGGAAACAGACCTACCTTCCAACTTATACTCAGAGGGACTTTTTCTGACAGGGGACTCTGGAGCAACCAAGCCTGGTTTTTCAGACTTGAGAGGAACAAAGGCCACAGCGCTGACCTGAGCTGCATGGGAACCACAGATAAACGCTCGGACCTCAGAGGCTGGTGGGCCTTCTTGTGGCCCAACCGTGGGACGGACCACATTCCCTTGCAAACACTCATGGGTGCTGGATGCCATCTTGGACTTCAGCGCAGGGCAAAGGCTGTCATCTTTGTCTTCAAGTGACATTTTCTTGCGGAGGTAATCGATATTGGCAAGCTTGCCATCTAACTTCTCACAACGGAGACACTCCTTGGCCTGGGCAGCCTTCTCTGAATTTTCAGCCTTCCCTGGGGAGGGCCTGTTAGCCAAGTGGGAGAGACTGTCTTGGAGGGTGCCAGGAGGGGAGACACGTTTGAAATCCCCAGCACCCTGACCATGCTCCACAGGCGCAGGGCTGTACCCAGATGCTGCGGGGTCTAAGGTAGTATTCTCACTGGTCCGCACGCTGGCCTTCTTGTGAAGAGCATCTTTCAGCAGGCTGCCTGTACACAGGGTCTCTGGCACGTTTGCTTTGTTTTCAAAGTGATTCGATCTTTCTAAAGCCTTCGGGAAGATTTTTCTCTCTCTCTCCTCCAGTTTAAAGGAAGGGAGGTTTTCCGTATCACCACTAGCACCATGGGAGACGTGGTGGGATTCTTGCTTCTCAGGGAAGCCATCTGGTTTCTTCACCACAACTTTGGCCTTCAGCTTCTCCCGGTCCAGGTCTTCTACAGATTCCTGCCTTCCCAGTTTCCGGGAGACGGGCCGTTTCAGGCAGCCTTGCTCCACAGGCCTGGCTCGGCTGAGGGATGGCGCATCACACACGTTCTCATCCAGGCTCTGCAAGGTGGCCTCCCGCTGTGACTGCTCCCGCTGTACCTCTTCCTGCGTCACCTCCAGGCTGTGCTTGCGGGAACATAGGTGCTTCTTGTCACTGCCATAGGAGGGTGACAGCTTCTCCTCCGATTGCACACGCTTAAGCAGTGGGGATCGCGGGGGCTCCGCGCTCTTGGGCCTCACGATGTGTCTGACGATGGTGGGAGGGGAGTGCATTTTGCTGGGGAAAGCTTGAGAGAACTTGGAGTTGCCCAGTGAGTGTCCCAGCAGAGGTGATGGTGACCGCTGCGGGGAGGTGGGCTGAGGAGTTGGAGAGGGTGTCCGGGCCAAAGGGGAAAGTGGGATGCTGCCAGCTGATTTACGCCTTCCAGATCGGTACCTCTGCCCACTGAGTTTGGGGGCCAGGCCGTGGAGAGTGCTGGGCCGGATGTGTCCTGACCCTGCTGGAGAATTGGGGGCACTGGAACTTGGGGAGCTGCTCTGGGAGGAATTCGTACCTGTGAGTGAAAAACAGAATAGGGTGAGTATCCAGGGTCATCTTCTCTTTCCCCTTCCACCCTTCTAACCCTGGCTGTTCAAGGGAACATAAAGGGGAGGCCGGTAGATTGTCTCGGCATCTCACTCTAATGAAAGACATGGTTTGCTGATAAAGCTCCCCCACCACAGAAAAATCCAATATTTCCCATCTTGTTTATTTTATTGTGGTGAAAACATACACAACAAAACATTCGCTAATCTCACAATCTCTACATGGATAATTCAATGATGCTGATTACAATCAATTTGTGTAACCATGATCGCTTTCCTGTTCCAAATGAGTTCACCACTATTAGCATAAACTCATTGCCTCCTAAACAGAATCTCCCCTTTCTAGTCTTTGTATTATAATGTTCAGGACACTCATGCCTTACGCCCTTCCTGTAAATTCAGTTCTATACTGTTGACATCCTCTGCTTTTGTCCTTTAGCTGGAATTACTTTCAAGTCTTCATGATCTCAAAATATGCTGTGGACCTCCTTCTTTCTCTGCTGTCGGCCCCAGGAGTGAGTCTCACTCACCAGATGGAAAGTCAGGTGTGGAGCGATAGCTTGGTGTGGGAGATCGGGGAGACAAGCTGTGGGTGGGGGAACCTGGCAGGCTCTCTCCAGACGACAGGGATCGGTTCAAGCAGGAGAAACTCCGACTGGTATGAAGTAAAGGAGAAGGCTGCTTGGCTAGTTTTTTGAAAAGGGATCTTCTTCTAGAATTAAAATAGAAAGGAAATGATCAGAACACAAACCAGATCAACTCTATCCTAGCTCCATTTTCATAGCTACTCCTGCCTCCCCACAATACCAGTGCATTCAATTCAACAAGTCTGGGTCGGACACACTGGTGTGACCACTGGCAGGTCCAGCCATTCTAAAGAATAGGATACAACTTTTATATTAAAAAATGATTGGTATCACTTACAAAGGAACATTCTTTGGCTGTACAAAATAGAGATTTTTCTTCTCTTACTTCCAAACCCATTGAAGAAGAGTTGGGGAAAATATATGTCACATTGAAAAACATACTAAAAATATATTCAATTACTTATTTGTTAGGTTTGTGAGGAAGATGTTTTTTGCCTGAAAGCTTCTGAGTACTTGGGCCCAAATACACTGACACAATTTAAATACGTGATCATATGAAATAAGTCTCTGGAAGAAAACTCTTTATTTAGGCTATAGAATTATTTAATGGTGATACACTGGGTAGATACTTTATCTACTAAGGACTGTATGCTGTACTTATGCTATTGTGGACTCTTGAGTATTGCTAACTACAGTGTCGGCTGTTTATTTCAACAGAAAACCTGAGAAAGACTAGAGCTTGTATCAGCAGGACAGCACAGACTACACAGCAGCTAGAGAAGCATATGTGTATTTAGTGTTCCATAAGTACATCTTAAAGCCAGAAACACAGGTTTGCACTGCTTGTAAGTACATGGAGCTGCGTCAACTCCCTCTGCTAAGCCTAAAAGAAAGATTTAACACTGGTACTCTTGAAACAATGTATTCTATATGAATTAAAGTCCAATCAAAATATGAAACTGGATGTAAAAGAAGGATCCCAGAACTTAATTGTAATCAAAGAAATAAATACACTTGGGTTAAAAAGGAAAATAGTTTTAGGAGTTTCTAATGAACAACAGCAACGTCTCTGCTCTGATTTCATTCCTAAACCCCAGAGAAACCATTGTCTATTCTGTTAGCTGTTTCTTCCTCTACTTGCCTTCATATTGCTAAGTACTATGTTCAGGCTAATATTTTTTAATGGTTCAGTTTTAGAAATGGTGCTGATTTCCTGCTAAAAAGATAAGAATTAAATTATTTAATACAATTCCCTTCTACCTTCCAACCAAATACACATACCTCCCCTTTTCTATTCTTCTCAAAATGTTTAAACTAAACAAGGTTAGAAAAAAGGTGGGTGCTTTATTTTACATTTCAAAAACTGTTCACAGCTGGGCCATGTAAAACACATTTATCATCCCTTCTTTTTCGGGCTGTTTTTCCTGGTGTTAGTATGTCATTTCCTTTTAATTTGCCTATTTTTCTATACTTCCATGAATAAAAATTTTCTCAATTTGGTCAGATGCATCAGATCCAAGTGGATAAAAGAGGGACTTGTTTTGTTATTATACAAGAACTGTCTTGCAAGAACTATTCCTACCAGAAAAACATACAAGTGGACAAATCTCGTTTGTGTCGGTCTACATAAAGCCCAACAAGATATTCAACATTACTTCTCAGACAGTAAACATCTGCAACTTAAGTTAGATTTTTAGTCAGTAAAATAAAGTCCTTTTATTTCTAGGTTTATTTCAAAGCTTTAGAGATATAGTTATTTTAGAATACATGGCATTTAAAAAATAGCAACTGTTTGTTTTTAGATAATGTAAAGAACATCATTAAACGTAGATTTGTGTTAAAAAATTTCTTGAAAATTGAGTCCCTCAATTCCAGCTCAACTGAAAAGGAACTCTAAAGACTTAAAGGCCAGCAAAGGGTTTTTCCTGGTAAATGATCAAAAGTAATCTAAATCCTTCTGCAATGTAAATACGTAAATCCTTTTACTATGAAAAATAATGCTACTATGAATATATAAACTTCAATATATTAAACCTATATGAACCATAGCTTAAAATTTCTCACAGAGAACTACAACTTTCTCAGATGTAAGCATTTAAATTAAGTAAGGAGTAACTTTTTTCCAACACATTTGCAAACAGTTTAACTAACCTCTCCAGACTTTCTTTTTTCTTGGATTTCTTACTCCGCCTCACCATCCGGCTTTTATAGCTGTTTCTCCTGGCTGGTCCTGTTTTGATTGATGTGTTTTCAAATGGGGTAGTTGTGATTGACACCTTATTTCCACTCTATTTACAAAGAGAGAAAGAGAGAGAGAGAGAGATGATATTAGAGAGAAATGCTGTGATGAAGTAAGGGCAGAACAGAAATAGGAGATTCAAAGACAAATACAAACACATATGAACATATACACATAAGGGCTCTCATTTCTAAATAACCTTTCAATCAATGAAATCCTAACAGTAATAAAAACTGGATGGAAGGCAAAGTGTGAAGTTTATTTTAGAGGGTGGGCTCTAGAGTCTTCAGAGCTGATTCAAATTTGAGCTCTGAGATCTTAGCAGGTTGCTTATCCTTATACTTCAGTTTCCTATGCAGGAGACCTGGTGGTGTAGTGGGTTATGCGTTGGGCTGCTAACAACCGAAAGGTCAGCAGCTGGAATTCTCCAGTCACACATGGGAGGAAGACAAGATTGTCTGCTCCCATAAAGATGTATAGCCTCAGAAATCCTGTATTTAGGGAGGTTAAGAATTGGGATTGATACAAAAGCAGTGGGTTTGGTTTGGTTTTAGGTTGTCTATCTCAGAGGACTTATATAAGGATTAAATGAGATCAAGTTTGTAAAACCTTTAACACATAGAGTCTTAGTATGGTGCTGTAGGATATGCACTGGACTCCTAACTGTACGATTGGAGGTTCAAATCCACTAGTCACTTCTTGGAAACCCTGTACAAGGTTTCAACTCAACGGCACTTAACAATGTAACACATAGAAAGGGTTGTATAAATAAATAACAGTTATCTTCATCCATATGTAATGAATATAAATATGCCCAGGGGCTGTCTCGCTCTCGGTTGAGTTATTTTTATTTTTTATGCTTTTCTTTGGCCAAGGTATCATAAAGTGGCAAAATTGAATGAGACTTTTATATTTCACTATAGTAAAAGGTTCCTTTTCTATTTTCCTAGAATCTGTCAGCTTGCAGAGCTGGAAAGTTTTATGTCTGCCGATATGAAACAACCCTTCTTGATCTGGGTCTCGGAAGGTGAGAAGATTCCCAGTGAGGCTCTGTGCCTTTTCACTCAATCCTGGGACAGGGCTTGCTGGGCATGCCCGGGGGATGGGTTTGATGGTGCAGTCAGATGGCAGGTTGAGGGATTCCCGGGGAAGGTAGACTGGCTTGAACCCACAGTCACCTTGGCATCATTACCTCTTCTTGAATTTCTTAATAACCAAGGGAGAAGCTTGTCCTCTCAAAGTCAGAGATTTCCCTGATTACTATAAAAATGCACGGAGTTTGGGAAGAACGTTTTTACAGACCAGTGCCTGGGGAAAACCCAGCAATTCTAAGTGGTACCAGTTGATGGGCATTAAGTATGGTAAGAAGAGGGAATGACTGTTTCCAGGTTAATATCTGTTTTCTTCTCCCTGATTTAGAAAGGAATACAGGTCCATTGTATGTAGAAACCAGCAAAGTATAAAACTTTTTAAAAATAATTAATTGAAAAGTCTACCATTTCATGACCTTTAGTAACATTCAGGGTATTTTTACTGGTCTTTTTCAGATATGCATAAATATCTACATCTTCTGTCAATAACTATAATATTAAGCTTACTGTTGGAGGAGAATATTGAAAGTGTCATTGGCTGCCAAAAGAACCAACAAATCTGTGTTGGAAGAAGTGCAGCCAGAGTGCTCCTTGGAGGCCAGGATGGCCAAACTTCGTCTCTCATACTTTGGACATATTGTCAGGAGGGCCCAGTCGTTGGAGAAGGATATCATGTTTGGTAGGGTGGAGAGTCAGAGAAAAAGAGGAAGACCTCCAGCGAGATGGATTGACAATATGGCAGCATCAATGGGATCAAGTGTGGCAACAATAGTGAGGTTGGTCCAGGATATCACTATGAGTCGGTACTGACTCGATGGCACCTAACAACAACTGTGTTTACAGCTTTGTTTTTAATTTCACCTTAAATAATTTTGATAAAATTTCTCTTCATCATTATTATTTAAAAAACAATATCTTTATTATTTTTGTATAATATTTTCCACCAGACGGATAATTTAAAAAGTATTTAACTATTTCCTTATTGTTATTGTTATCCATTTTTACATTCTTATGAGTTGAAATGCATAAATATTTTTCAGATGTTATGTAATTAGTGGCCCTGTGGGTTAATGTGCCCGACTGCTAAATCATTTGAACTGCAAGGTTGGCTGTTTCAGCTTACCAGCTGCTCCTCAGAAACCCTATACAGGGTCACTAAGGGTCAGAACTGATTCCAAGCCACTTAACAACAACAGTTAAAAACAAATGTAATTAGACTCGATAAACTGAATCAAAGGGTTTCATCGGAACTTCTTCAAGACTCCTAGTACATACTGAAACACTAGTTTTCCAGAAAGGTTATGTCAATTTATATACCTACCAGCAACACTTTTCAAATTACCAACGTTTTAAAAGCTTTTTTTTTTTATAATTTGGGTGAAAGTTTACAGAGCAAATAGTTTTCCATTCAAAAGTTTATATGCACTTTGCTGCCAGACATTAATTGCGTGTGTCCCCACAATGTAATAACACGCATCCCACTTCCTCTCTGTGGTACCCATTTCCACCTTTCTTTCCCAGCCCTTTCCTGCTGTCTCAGCTTTGTCTCTGGCCAAAGGTTTCCCTTTTGAGCTAGGTACACATGGCTGATTGCCCTGTGATAATGGAGTCCTGATGTGGTGCACTGGATAAGCACTAGGCCAAAAAGTCAATTTGAATCTCAAGGTCGGCGGTTCAAACTCTATCCAGGGCTGCTATGAGTTGGAATCACTCGACGGTGAACAACAACAATGTTCACTTTATAGGCCTCTCTATTCTTTGCCTACAGGTTGACCCAAGGGTTCCAGGTCTGAAAGGTAACTAAAGGAACCTGGTGGTGTAGTGAGGTCAGCGCTGGGTTGCTAACCTCAAGGGCAGCAGTTTGAGTCCTACAGCTGCTCCCTGGGAGAAAGATGGGTCTATGCCCGCTCCTGTACAGATGAACTCTCTCAGAAACCCTAGGGAATAGCTCTAGTCTGTGTTTTGGATCATTATGTGTCAGCAGTGGGTTTAGTTTTGATGGTTTAAGGGTCATAGTCTTGGAGGGTCTATTCACCCGTCTATTCAACCAGTAGTTCTGACTTTTTTTGAGTTTTGTTTCAAAACTCCCACTCTTCTTTTGTGACCCTTTTCAGAATAGTGAGCAATGTAATCATGCAGCATCTAGTTCTTGTCTCAAGATTGTGGAGGCTAGGGTTCACTTAGTCTATTAGTTCTTTGGAATAATTGTTTCCTTCACTCTTCTTTGTTCCAGATGGGAAGAGACCAATACTTACAGCTTCGATGGCTACTCACAAGCTTTTAAGATTCCCAGTTGTTAATTATCAATTAGGATGCATAACATTTTCCTTGTGAACTAGGTTGTGCCAATTGACCTTGATGTTCTCACAGAATATGGTCTTAGGCCACCAGCTACTCATTCCCTCAAGGTATCTGGTCAAGTCATAGCTAAGAACTTCTTGGAGTCCTGGCGTGGTGCTGTGGTTAATGTGCTTGACTGCAAGGCCAGTTTGAACCACAAGGTCGGATTTCAAGCTCACCCGCTGCTCCTCGGAAGCCCAATACAGGGTTGCTATGAGTAGGAACCGACTTGCCAGCACTTAATGACAACAACAACAACAACAACATCAAGTTCTTATAACTCTGTCCCCTGCACACACTACTATACTCATGGGTACACAAGGGGGCTTCAAAGAGTTTGTGGAAGATTATAGTTAAAACACAAAGTTTGTGGAGTTTTTAAAAGAAAGTTTGTGGATTTTTCCCCAAACCCTTTGAAGCCCTCTTGGATCTGTAGCACATATAAATACATATGTAACACTATATTCTGTCAAGCCTATATATCTGTGGGTGTAAAATTCTATTTGCCTTCCCAAACCTGTTGGTCTTAAATGCATATCTACGTATCTACAAATTACCAATTTTCTACCTAAAAATGGTGTCTTGTAATAATCTTTGCTTCTTGACTATTAGCAAGGCTGGGTGGGTACTGTCTCTGAATTGTTTTAGTCATTTGTATTTCTTTATGGAATTGTTTATATCTTACATTCATCGATTATATAAGGATATTTCATCCCATACCTAATGTACTTATGAACTTCTAGTGTGGCGCTGTTGGATCAGCACTGAACTGTGAACCATAAGGTCAGCAGTTGAAACCCACCAGCCCTCCTTGGAAACCCTATACAGGGTCACTATGAGTCAGAACTGACTTGATGGCACTTAACAACAACAATAACAATGCATTTGTAGAAAATATTTTAAGGAAATGGGATTTGAACTTGACAAGAGAAATTTTTATTTTTATGTTTAAAGAATTATACATTTGCCAGAGCCAAAACTATAAAAATAAACTTTTATTTGATTGTTATTGTTGTTAAGTGCTACCGAGTCATCTCTGACTCACAGTGACCCTGTATAGGGTTTCTGATGACTTGTGATGAGCAGACCAGTGCTTATCCTATGGACTCCCAAAAGGATGGCTTGTCAGGAGTGGGATGCAGATATATAAAATCTGTCAACGAAGCTTCTTTAGGACAGGGTCTTTTCTTCATACACTGAGTGAGGCTATGCTGCATTTCTTTTTCTTCTTCTTTCTGCCTTAGGTGAATGAAAGCGGAAACAGACTTGGCTGGAGGTTTACCTTTCAAGACTTCCAGTATTGGCCTTCTAATCGTTGTCCCCATTCACACACAGTATGGATACGCAGCGCGGTAATGTTTGCTGGGGTAGTTCCAGCCGTCACATGAACCGTTTGAGCCCAAATATAATTCAGCATTGACAAGAGGCTAATCATGCCAGCTGGCATTTTAAATGCACATTTTGATTTTAAAGTTATTTCTTCCACATACATTCTCTTACTTTATTTCACAACCAAGTAAAGAAAGTTGTTTCTTTCACAACATCTTCACGAGCTAGGAAGGGCCCACTATCCTTGCTTTTGTTGTTGTTAAGTGCCCTCACATTGGTTCCAACTCCT